AGGCTTGAATTGATTCAGTGTGCCAGACTAAGCAACATGTCTCTGAGTCTCGCAGTTGCCCAGGCGAAGGACAAACTCTTCGCGTTCTGGAACTTCTTGAAGTTCGTTGTGGTTCCCGAGGGCTTGGAGAAGAAGGTTGGCCAGGTCTTCAACTTGCATTTCATGGCAAGCGTGCTTCCGGACTGCGACGGGGAGGAGAGCCGGCGAAACAAAATGGCTCTCACCAACACTCTCCTTCGAGCACAAGTGTCCGTAATCGGGGACACTGTTTTTGAGCGCTTGCGATCACCTGCTTCGGTGGAATGGGCTGCGACCAGCTTGCTTCATGAGCTTCGGACCGGTGAGTTCGCAGACCAGAGCAATTGGTCACTTGGCCCTGTTTCTGTCCTTGCAAATGTTGTCTCTTATTTTGTATGGCGAGTCGCGCTAGTCATGCTTGTTACTGTTGGCTAGTGGCTGGGTGTTGACTCAGCGCGCATCTCTGAATTGCACCCGACTCAGCCACAAATGAGTCTGGACCATATTGGAGAACAAGTAACTGTCACCGTAACGGTAGAAAATTGTAAGAGCGACTGTGATGACGCCCGCTTAGCTTGAGCGCCAAGGTTACCGCTGCCTGGAAAGGACTACACCGACCTCACAGGCTACAAGAACAAAAGCGGGTTCTCCGCTGGTGTCATGATGGACTTGCAAAGGATCTTTGCATCCTTGGAGTTGGTCGCAGCAGCTAAGGAGGAGCGAGACCCTGACTCTGACTACTTGTGCGCTGTGGCTCAGGCGCACGCAAGCTTCTCACAGCGGGTGATGCTGCCCATGACTGCCAACAATGAGTGGAGGACAGACAGGGGCAACGCGCTGACCTTGCTCTGTTCCAAGTAGTCAGTAGCCAATGATCCGAGCTTTTGCTTGGCTGATTGATTCTAAAATTCTATGTTTCATGCTGTCATCGCTATCGCACTAGCCAGCCTTGCTAAGTTAGCAGTGGAAGCTGTTGTTCTGGCAGGACATTGTGGCAAAAGGTTTTGGCTTGCCAGAAGGCCGCCGCGTGTTCCACTGCCTCGATTCAGAAAGCCAAAGACGTGGCGCTGAACCTCAACAGCATTGCAGAGCTGGAAAAAGTGGACGAAGCATCCCTGCCATCTCTCCAGCCCAAGCTGGAGAACCTGAAGTTGCTCGAGAGCCTCCGAGCTGATTTGGGGAAGGCGTCTGCCAAGAAGGCCGAAGGCGCAGAAGAGGCAGCTTTGCAGCTGACGGAGGCTGCAGCGTTGGTGGCATCCTGGGCGGAGACAGCGGTGTGTGCTGATTTCGACTCGATCCTGGGCCGCGTTACCCAGAACACCTACAGCAAAGTTCTCCTTCCACCAGACACCGACACAAGCATGGCTGCTTGGGCGAAGGCCTTTGACACAGCCTTGCTGCCGGACCTGGCTCCTGCCAGCGAGAAGCTCTTCCAACTGCAGTGCTGCCTGGCTGCGCAGGCTTACAGACTGTTTGTGATTGTTGCTTTTTTTTTTATTGGTGCACTTGCTTGCGGCTACGTGCGTTGCATGTTTGATTGTCTTTGCAACTTCCACGAGCCGAAGAGTTTGTATTGGGAAGGGCAGTGCGGCAGTTCTATGTAATGTTACATGTTACATGTTCCTTTCTCTCTCTCTTTTTTTTATCGTGTGCATGCTGCCTGCGCTGCGAACAGTCTTGCGCGACTCATCACTTTTCGCACCTTTTCAGACTGGGCCTTGTGAGAGCCGTGAGTTAGCGAGAGTGACTTGCCAAACCATGTGCTCTAGATACAGAGTTTTGGATTGAGCCAAAGAGTTTCCAAAGTGGACACCAGCTGCTTCTGCGGTCAGGCTCGATTTTGTCACACATCTCTCCGAAGGGGCAAAGCCAGCCCGAGCTCTGCCAGCTGGCTTACACGCTCGTACTTGCTTGGTTGTCAAAGGCATCAACCTTCACATTGCCTGATGGAGCCTCGGATGACACCGACAGCCAGGTGAAGAGGTTGGCGGCGCTGTCCAAGCTTGTGACCGATATTCTTGACATGCCCGTGGCTTCGAAGCTGCAATCCTTGGTGGAGAGCAAGAATCGGGACGATTTCCCTTCAATTGTTCAAGCTGCTCTTGCAGCCGCTGAGTACTTGCAGAACATGAAGAGGGGTTGCCAGGCAAAGTGCCTTCAGCTGGCTCAAGACGGGGTGGTGGTCGACCTCACTGCCATCCTTCCAAGAGAGTTGCAGCCGGTCGGGCACGTGCTGCAGCTGACCAGATGCTTGGCCGAAAATATTGAGGCAACCGGACAAAAGCGAGAATGAATCGCTGATAAGGCCATTGTTTTTCCAGCAAGATGTTGCCTCTTGATGCTGGGCGCTTGGACTGGTGTAGGGTTTTAGCAGAGGTGGGATTGGTTTTACAGACTCACACCCAGCCTTATTGAGAAACCTGAGTTCTGGCCTGTGACCAACGGCTACGCTACCAACACCCCCAATTGAACTGTTGCTTTCCACTCGTCTCCCCGAAGCCACCTTGCAGGCCAGTGGGCTGGCGAGATTGAAAGCATTGAGGAGGCAGACGGCGGCTTGGGCCGTTTCATTGCCAAGTTGGCGGTTTTGGAGTCGGCGCACGCTGCAGGCCAGAGTGAGCTTGTGCAGAAAGATGCCATGCTGGGCAAGTCGTTGGAGTTCTCCCAAAAGTATGTCGTGACATTTGTCAAGTTCCTTGGCAAAAGCCTTGATCTCGTGGAGAAGAGCAACATGCCCCCGTTCACGTCGTTTCTCAGCAAGTTCTCGGAGGTCATGGAGGCAGCCCAGCGCTGGCAGATGAAGTCCGTCGAGTGGATTTTCAGTGAAGATTCTGAGGAGACTGTCCGCGCAGACTTGGAAAAGTTCCGGGATGCTCGGATCACTTTGCTCAAGGGGCCGGCCAAGGAGCTGAAAAGTTTGACCACCCACAAGACGGAGTGCGATGCTTTGAAGCCAGTCATTCAGCAGGCCTCAAGCATTCTTGCCAAGCTCAACCAATCTTGCAATGATGCAAGCATCCTGGCAACCGTCTTAATGTTTGCTCACACGGCCATGGTCAGTGACACGCTCTCCAAGGACGAAGTCAAGGAGCTTGACAGTGCCACCAAGGCAGACTTTGGCCACGGTCAGGAAGTCCTCCCGGACAAGCTTGTCAAGGTCCTTGCTGAGAAGCCCGCTCCGCGTTCGGATAAGCAAAAAAAGGGCAGGAGAAGCGACAGAACGAAGGACAAGGCCAAGGAAGAGAAGACGGAGAAGGACAAGGCAGGCAAGGACAAAAAGCGGCGCAAGGACAATGGCGACAAGGACGCGAAAGAACCAGCCACCAAGGACTCCAAGCGGAAGCAGGCTGATGGCACAAAGAAATCGCGCACCAAGTGAGCCATCTGAGTCTGTGAGCAGTTTGCTTCAGCTTCTACGGTACGGTATATGTGTAGGGAGTGCTGCTCGAGCCTCGACATTCGGTCTTGGCATTTTTACCTGAGGCTTGAGCTCTCAATGAGATAAAATGGTCTGGTTGCCCAGTTGCGGCTGACTCCGGTGACATGTGACATATGGTTTCGCTTCTTCTCGTGGCCTGTGGCCCCACAATGAATCAGATATTCAGATTCTGGATGGGTTAAAGTCACGAGTTTGTGAGGTCGTTCTGAGTCTTATGCGAGTGACAGATTCCAGAGCAAGCCCTGCATAGCATCCTTGTGCCAGGAAATTCCATGACATCGTCAGTTGTGGGAGCTTGCGTCACTGCGTTGGTCCTGTACGCGCTGAAGCTTGGCCACGACGACAGGCCGCCTGGCAGATGAGTTGCCCTCCCATGTTTGCACATTCCCGAGGCTCAAAGGCCTTGATTGTGAAGTGACTTGTGTGTGTGTTTTTTTCCGACTTGGGTTTGCGACTGTCGTTTTGAGACCAATTAGTAATCTGCATAAATTTAGGACTTGTGACTTGTGATTCTTGATTGCTTGGCTTGACGGTCTCAGGTGAGTTGCCCCTCCTTTTGCGGTTTCCCAAACTTCACAACAATCTCGGTGTGGTCTAAGGCAATGGCCTGATCCACGAGACTTCAGAGTGCCAGCGTCCAGTGACAGTAGCGGCAGCAGCAAAAGCTGCAGTAGGAGCAGTAGGAGTGTGGGGTCAGCCAGCTCAGCCAACATCGTGTCTGCCAGCCGAAGCAGCGGCAGTGAGAGCGATCCTGGCACTGACACTGACCATAGTGCGTGTGAGACAGAGTCGGCCAGAAGCTGGGCGCCGCCCAAAGCGAAGAAGCTAAAGCTGTGTCGACGCTGCGACTGCTCATCTTCCGAAAGCCCTACCTTGCCCTTGTCAGCTCTGCTTGACGGCTAGGCCTAGAGTGTTGGTGCAACTTTTGATGAAGGCGTATGTCCTGTCAATGTTGGGCTGGCTCGGGTGGCGCAGTCAATCACAGATGCACACGCTGGTGGCAAGAAGGACAAAGCTGGTTTGCTGCGTTTGTGCGAGTGACATGTGGCAATGCTTTGGCTGCATGATTAAGTGCAGGATACATCTGGCCTTCCAGCATGAATCCAGACATGGTTACCCACATAGCTCTACACATGGGTAGAACAATAGTTCGCCACAGACCTGCCAGGGTGTTACCCAAGCCACAGTCATAGAGACCGTGGCCCGAAATAACCCTGATACCTCAAAAAAAACGAGCCACACCCATGCAGGTGACACTGCTTCAGTCAGGGAATCACTTGAGTCATACTCAAAACCCGGTACAAAAATGGTCGACCCAGAACCATGCTTCAAGAATTAAGCAGGCGGATATTATCCGCAGCTATTTCTCAAGTGGATTGTCCCTTACTAACCGAGTCACATACCTGAATCGGTTTTGATTGTGACTCACTTGCGTCACCCTTTTTGCTGTAGTCTATTTTAGTAGGGGAACCCTCCCCCGAAAAAGAAGCGGTAAAGGGCGCCTAGCTGGGGGAGCTAGTTGAGTCGAGGCCGAGGCCCGCGCCCATGTAGGTGATGGTCATCACGGCGTCGAAGGGAATGGCCGCGGCCGCTTTGGCCTCCTCTTGGCTCTTCTCCAAGGCGCGCTGCAGGTCCGGCACCAGGCTGGGCTTCTTCTTGGAGAGGCACTTCCTGGGTTGACCGGGACCAAAACCAACGTTCACCCGGTCTTCCCGTTTCCTGGGTATCTCCCCCCAAACAAAACAAACGTGATCCCCCCCAAAAAAAAAACGCAAACATCGGTACCTGGGACACACACACACACACATCCAAAAAACCATCAACAACATGAGCGAAATATGGGAACCCCCTAAAACAACAAACGTCAACTTGGTTGGCCGTTTTCAGATCCCTAAATGGAAACTACCAAACAAACAAACGTCAACTGGGCTGCCAGTTTTCAAAAGTGATTTAAACTTTTGGGTGAAATTCGGAAACTACCGCTAAACACTAAAAGGATCTAAAAAGCTAAGGAAGCCGGATCCATCAAGTCAGCATCGGCCCAACGAAAACAAACATCGGGACCCGAACCCCTCCCCCGCCAAAAAGAGAAACAATATGGTGAAATGGTTGGAGCCCCACCCCACCCCCCGGCAAAATGCGGTGGTTCTGTCCTAGGTCCTCCAGTTTTGCGAGGTTAGAATAAGTTGGCACCAACTTTTTTCTATAGGCTATTTTAGTAGGGGAACCCTCCCCCCAAAGAGCACTACTGGGGGACCTAGGGTCAGACCAGGGGATTTAAACCGTCCTAGTTCCAACAAATGTCATGTTTTGGAAGGCAACGGAGCCCCAAGGCTCACAGAGGTCAACAGCACCTTTTGCGCTCCAAAGCAGCTGGGGCGACGGTATATCTCTAGGGGTACATTCCCCATTCTTTCCAGGGATCCTTCTTTCTAGAAAACCTCCGGAAACCCAGGGAAAACGGCCGATTTTTGGAAGAACGATGGTTGAACAGAATGGGGAATCAAACCCTAGAATATCGCACGAGTTCCTTTCGAAAGGGGCAACGTGCCATTTCACGAAAAACTGAACATACTTTGGATGGGCGAACTCCATTTCGCACCACCTAAGAAACCCTGGAATGAATGATTCCCCCTTAAATTGGTTTCAAGGTGGTGCAGAATTTCGTCCATCCACAGCAGCTCCCTGGTGCAGGGAAACTGAAGGAAATTGGCTCAGTCTCGGAAGGAATCCTGTTCCAGGGGGAAAACATATAGAGCTTCCAAAAAACCTTGCTTGGTAAAATCAAACACGTGCACAAAAAGACATACACAGGGAATGTTGGTTGTGTATGTACATGTGCATGCATGTAACATTATGTATAATGTGCTATACATACTGACATATGGCGTCATTCATTTTAAGGTGGCGCAATCATTGCTTTAAGGAAACATGGTGATAAACCAAGCTCATTCACCTACCCATAGACCAATCAACGGTTGTTTTTCGCATCTTGAGACAAACATTGGACAGAGCACGTGCTTCTTGCGGTGGGTCTTGAAACAATCCGGCAAGCAAACCCCATAGCCTCGATGTCTGCAGTATGGCCATGGGTCAAAATCCAAGTCGTACCCCCAGTGAACATCCCAATCCAACCACTAAAATAGACTAAAATGGGTGGTGAATTCACCTGCCCCAACATGGTAACATTGGTTTTGACCCACTGCCATATGGATAGACCTACGTACTATTGCTGGGCTTCGCAGTCACGGAAACTGGAGAAGGAAAAGAAGAACAAAAAAAGAAGAGCAACAAATAATAAAATAACACGGGCGAGCGGGGGCAAGCATGTCTGCCGGAAGAGTCTGATAAAAATGGCAGCGGAAAAAATCGGCTCGGAAACAAAGCAAAGCTGGGCTGCCCTCAGATCCCCCGCTAAAAGTTTAACTGTTAGTGGGTTAAATGGACACTACCACTGAACACTAAAAGGCTAAAGCGCTAAGGGGATGGCTGGGAGCCACCAAGAAAGGAGACTCCAGACAAGTTCCCCAACTCAGCAGTCAAGCCTGGGGACTAAGACATGATTGGTTTCCCTTTCAAGTCCCATTACAGCCCCCCCTAAAATGATCCCTTCAAGAACACCTGGACACATAAAAACAAAAACAAAAACAGACACACAGACACAGACACACCAAGCACAAACAAACTTACGCATACACATAGACACACACACACACGGACAAGCACACACACACAAAGACACACACACACACAGAGACATGAAGATACACGCACAAACACAAACAAAAACCACATATATCTAACGCACAACTATGTCTGACACTCCCCTTAATCCAGGGACAAGAATGGAAACGCAAGCGCAAGCCACAAAGGCTGCCAATGCTTAAGGGTTGCCTGGCCCCGTGCAAAAAAGTCCCGACACACTCCGATGATGCGATTTGTTTCGTGAACGCACACCCAGCACTGGGGGACTTTTAATGATTCCAAGGGTTGATTCTCCATTCTTTCCAACCATCGTTCTTTTCGAAAACCGGTCGTTTCCTTGGGTTTCCGGGGTTTTCTAGAAAGATTCGGATCCCTGGGTCGAGAATGGAATTGGAAGGTAGCCTTAGAATGATCAACTCCAAAAAGAGTAGGTGCTCAGATCGGTCTCGTGCTTGCGCC